AGATCTCCCTATGCAAATGTTCATAGGAACTTTATTCACATTAGCCCCCAACTGGAAATAATATTACTACCCATCAATGGTGAAAGTAAACTTTGGCATAGCCCTACAATGGAATACTATTCAGCAATAAAAAGAAATGAACTGCTGAAATAGACAATGTATGATTGAATCTCAAAATCATTATGCCAAACGAAAGAGGCCAGACACAAAAGAACTATATCCAGTACTTTCCAATTCCACTTATATAATCATCTAGAAAAGTCATGACTACAGGCTCAGAGGACAGATCAGTTGTTGCCAGGGGTTGGGGGAAAGATATCGGCTACAAAAGGGCACAGGTAGCTTTTCGGGGCGACAGAAAGGTTGTGTGTGTTGACTGTGATATACATGTATGTACAGGCCTGTACACATTTGCCAAAACTCATCATCAACTGCTCTCCAAAAGGGTGAGTTTTATTGTATGTATACTTCTAGAAACCAGACTTTAGAAAATCAAACTAAAAAACATATTGAGAAGATGGAGAGGAGGAAACAGAAAGAGGAGGGGAAGGCTAGAGAGTTCATCTTCCTTCTCTTTTGAGAAAGAAAGTCACAAAAAAACTCACAGGGCTTCAAAAAGGGAGAACCACAAAATTCGAAACACCTGTTTGATGGTATTGGCAGAGAGGGGAGTAGTTAAGAGCGTGAGCTTTAACTTTTCCACCATGGGGTTTGCAAAGTTCGGAAATATTCTGTCACCCAGGGAGAGTCTGCAGAGACAGGCATGTTCCCCTCTCTCCAGCCCAGAGTCAGGAGTCTAATCTCCAAGGGGGTCCTTTGGAGACGCTCTTGAACTTTATGTTCTGAATATCCTTTGACCCAGGAAGCTCAGTTTTATGAAGTTATCCTATGGAAATAATAGGGCAAACCAAGAATATACACGCGTCTTCCAGGTATCTGTTTTTTTCAATTTTTCTTTTTCTTTTTTTTTTTTTTGAGACAGAGTCTCATTTTGTTGCCCTGGCTAGAGTGAGTGCCGTGGCGCTCCCAGCCCTCACGCTCACATGAATCA